AAATTTATGTTTTCTGTAAGTATTTTCTTTTCCTTTTTTTTAAAAAGAGGACATACGTAGGCCAGGATATTCTAGTATATTACTACCAGGGCTAACCATGAAAAATGTAAAAAACTGTTTTGTTTGCCCATTTTTCGTTTGAATATTAATTTTATATATGTGTGTAAATAAAGCATGCAAATTACAAAAATAAAAAGAAATTCATCAGGACTTCGAGGATGCGTATTACGTCATGTGGAAACTAGAGCAAGGCCCCTCTGGATTTCAACAAGGATATGGAATCCTCACACTACCCCTGATACCCTGTTCTCTGGGAATCAGATGGTAACTACCCATGGGTATCAGGCTTTTGATGAACTGCCGAAGAAAGACAGCGTTGTCCAGATAAACCACTATGGTCAGATGCCATCCTGGGGTCCAATGTCAATCCAGGATGGTGAACCGAGCCACAGTAGTTTTGAGATGTCAGTCTTCAGAGGTGACCAGGATTTCTGGGTACACCAACAGAAGACAAGTCCAGTGGGTAGCCAGCCTATCTGGGACAGTCATCTTCAAACTCCTGAATTGGACATCATTCAACATGGAGGCATCCCCCCCCCCAAGACAAAGTGAGGAATGTAACCTGTTTCAGCTTCTGGACACCACTCCCAGCTGGAAAGACAATTCCTCGGGTCAGGTGAAGTCTACCTCAGTAGATGAGAATGTCTGCTCAGGTCTGAAGCCATCACCCACTGTTGGAGGAAGTGACAGTGATGAGGAGACTTCATCTGGAAACCAAACTTTATGTGTGGAAGGTTCTACATGCCCTGCCAGTTCCTTTGTGGCCAAAGGTCAGACTCAAGAGAGCTTTTCACAAATCCCCTCGGGCCTGGGACAGCTTCCACAGGAGAAGTCACAGCTGACCACTCAGAGTCCCGGGACCCAGATTAATTCTGACACTGGGAGATTCTTGTGTACCTACCCAGGCTGTGGGAAATCTTACACAAAGACTTTCCACCTCAAAGACCACATGAAGAAACACACTGGGGAGAAGGCCTATGTGTGCAGTGAGCCCGGATGCCAGTGGAAATTTTACCGCTCTGCAGACCTCGAAAGACACAAAAGAAAGCATG